AGAGGTTTGCTTGCCTTGCCTGTACTGTGTATTGTTAACCCTATTCACTAAAATTGCCTGTGTAGCCGGATGCCGTACATATTTGCCCCAGGCAGGCATTGCTTTTAGCGTGTTGTCACTAGATTAATCTCTAAAACGAGAATTATTAGAGTACTTTTGTTTACCCGCTTAGCAGGGCTATTTGCCCCCCACCACCATTCCTTTCTGAAGAACAACATCTCTAATTACTGCAACTAGCTACACTCTCTTCTCCGCCCCCCCCCCTTCATTTCTTACTCAGTTTTCCACAAAACAGTCTTGAGGATCCCTTTATGCCATCTTCGTATTGCGGAGCCTGGTCGGAAGCACTTTTAGGTCACTGATGCCTAGCAGGTCCAGTGATGGGTTTTTTTCTTCGAGGCCTATCACGGTGACGGTTGTGGTATCTTAATCTGACATTTGCTCTGCGAAGTTACCTTCCGGGAATCAGTTTGTTCCTTTTTAATTGCTTCTAGTAGGTTTGTTCCTATCTGATCTTTGAAGCCATCCTTAGCGGGATTTTCCGTCATGCTTTGTAGCAGGGACTTCCAGCAAATCACATACTCCATCGTTAATGCTCTGTAATGTTGGCGGCATGCACATATTTTTGACATCCAAAGATAGCAGTGCCATTTTAGAACTATTGAAAGGCACAGCAGTTGAGTCGATCTCTGCGTTAAGGAAATTCAGGCTTGATAGTTTAAACAAACGGGTCCAATACTGTGTCAGAAATTCGTAATGTCGATTGCCTTTTCCATTGTTTTTTTAGACTATACCATGTAATTTTCCCGCATCTTCTCTTGTTCGGCGGAATCCCGTGCAACTTTTGAAGTACGCGTTATAACTGCCCGACTGTGGTCAATACCCGCCCTGTCGGCACGTGGTACTTGCATCTTCGTCCATGGCTGACTATTTCTCGTTTGGATAGTCGCAGCAATTCTGAATCTGACCCTACATTTTAGATGAGAAAGCGGATATTATCAAGTCGGAAGGAAACTGATATTCTTTGTGCCTTCAGGTGTGCCTTAATGTTAACAGCTCCCCCCACTTAGGTGAATTTTTTCAGTGGCACCCACAAGCAGCCCAGAAACTCCTACAGAGAAACTTAATTAGGCTCTGAGTAGAAAGTGGATTTGATCTGTCACATGGGACTCGTATTTCTGCTCTCCTACCCAAGACAGCTGTTGAACCAGGCGTACATTTTTACCAGAGGGTGTTCTGCTACTCCAAGTTCCTCTTGAGTCACATTCTTTTGCGCTCAGTAATTGCGCCATAAAGTATGCGGGATGAAAGTTAAAGAGCGATTATGTGAAACAGAGGGACTGTGCAGTTACTAACGCTTGCACTTACCCTGGAGCAGTTCAAAGACTTCCGTTGGTGAATGTAAATCCAGAGGCTTGAAGCGCAGACATACAGATTTGGACCTGCAAAAAAACAGTAAAGATTTTCACATAACGCTAAGGCGTCCGTTTAATTGTTTGGATGTTATGCCACGTTTCTGTGCATCGCAAAATTGATCATGTCCTAATGATGTCAAGGTCACCTACTTTGACACCTTATTTGCGGCAAGATCTTTCCAAATAAAAGCTGCCAGTAGCCACTCAGCCAGGTGTTCAAGGCGTGGAAAAAAACCAGCATAACGCATACAGTATTTCTCAAGGCCTCTACTGTAGTTTTGAATAATGATAATAATCGTAATAATAGTAGTAGGAGATTTTAAAAGCTAAAAATGACGGAAAACAGAATCCCAGTGCGTCTCTTGTGAGCTTTGTGCGAATCTTTTAGTTTTTTAATCAGATATATTTAGTTTTAGAGCTATTACTCCTACCAAAGTGGCGAATTTGGATAAACAAGTGGTCGTTAGATTAGTCTGCAATGAGCAGATAGAAGATAATCGCCTTCTCACTTTGGGGAGGGCGTTGTACCACACAGATACGCCATAGAAATGTGGTCGAAAATGTTGAGGGGAACTAAGTCAATTTTCCTATACCCAGACTTACAAAATAACTGGGCAAAAACTCACACGTGGCCGCACAAAGTTTAAAATCAGTAAAAATAATCTAACAAAGCAGGTGGAGGCTGAGTCGAAAATTAAAAACAAGGTTTTTATAGCGAGCTTTTTACGAGACTTTGAATCTGCACATTAAACAGTCAAGTTCAACGGAAAACTTACATTAGACCGTTGGAGAACATCTCTGCCAGGTACAGGAATCTCCTTTCGTCAACAGTCCTTTTACACCGATAGTTGAGGTTAATTGCCTCGGATCTATTTCTCACGTACATGTGAGCATAGCCACTTGGGACTCTGTTGACTTCATTTTCTAGGTAAGGCTGCGAATTTACGAATCCGGGGTAAATTATGCTGAGTTTGTTCAGGTCTGCACTGGCTGTCAGCTGGGAGAACTGAGTCCCTTCACGACTGGACCTCCTCAAAGAAGGCATTCCTGACCACCAGGTGTTTGTAGTTCCCGAGTAGAGAAATTGGGGAAATTCGCAATAACAGTGTACACTGCGCAGAAAGATTGCTCCAAAGAGCACCATGCAGATCACTGTAAAACGCCCAATAAAAGAGTAATTCAAGTGCTCATTCTTTAAAGCAATCCCATATATGTTAACTGGTCGACGGAACTTCACTGGTTATTGTTTTCTTACAACATATTTTCAGAAGAATGCACAAGTTTTCTGGGACAGTTATACAATTTTAAAGTAACTACTTCAAATAAGAAGTCTCGTTTCAACAAATTACACAAAAATAATTTAAGTGCCTCCTATTTGGCAGCAAAAATATTATGCAATTTCTCACATTTTGCATCTTTTCCACAGAGTATGTATCTTTTTATCACTCTTTGCTTCAAAACGTTAAGACTCTAGCGACAAACGAGGTGGAAGTCGAGGCACTTGACTTATATTCTATCAAGTCCACAAAAAAGTCGCTGTAACGAGCGAGCCCAAATTGTGCTAATTTCCGGAAGGAAACATAGCGCAATCGATCCAGTCATACTAGCAAGATCCTGCCATTGAAACAGTGATTACCAAAACCCGAGCGATGCACAATTAACTCTATTTTTTATTCTTAAACATTGTTTAGGATGTTTTACACCACTTGGACAAGTATCTCTGACGAAGAAGACAAGAAGACGCACACGTATCTTTGTTATTTTTGCATCTAAATGCAAGCCCCTTTCTTACCAAATTAGAATCAGATTTTAAAGGGAAAGCTGTCGGCGCGGTAAATGAAGTAAGAGGTAATATGGCGGTCGGCAAGGCAGGCGGCTTTTCTGAAAGATAGACGATTTTCACGTTTGCTTTTCAGGAACAAAGACTGTCAATTTCTGCAGATATAAAGGCCGTCTAGAGCAAAGTCACTGCACAAGGTTGCATAACGCAAGTTTTAGCTTTATCATGAACTTGAAACACTTACTTCTGTGAAAAATTACTTCAGGGGCATGTGACGGGGACTGGCATGATTCCGCTCGGAAACAAACGGAAGACATTTATCACCAGCAGCTCTGAAGGAAATTTTGGATCTGGCAGTCACTTGCGGCACAGCCATTATTTTACTGAGATAAACTTTAAACGGACGGAAGTAAATGAAGTAAAAAAGGTCTTACTTTCAAAACAGTCATGAATGACTGATTGGCCAACTGTTGCTCCAACCCCTCTCATGGCCCCAGCCAATCATCAAGGCTGCGCGTATGCATCTCGCCCTCTCCACCTGCTCACTTAATGGAAAACGCTGGGACTAATAGCATCCGCTCAACAGGTTATACCAAGAGCATAATTAACTGTCGGCTACAGGTTGAATGTTGTGAACTTCCAGCCCTTGCCGATGACCGGCTCCCAATACGGTCGGCAATTTGCGTGAAGGGATTATTATTATTATTTGCGCTATGAGCACCGGAAGTGCCGATTGCATTAAGCCATGTCGAGGTCCACCCAGCATCAGGTATCCGGAAGCATTGGCAAAGGAAAGTTTGCCTAAGTGGCTCTTAGTTATCAACTGACGGCACAAAAAGCTCTCATCCACAGGAAACTGTTTTGCAAAGCAAAATGCTGGGCTTTCGGAATCTTTTGCAGATGAATAAAGGAAAAGTACGGAACCTAACCACTGCATTAAAAGGAGTACTTATTCGTGAATAGAATATTTTGATTTTTTATTGGATAGAATATAAACGTGGTTACGACACAGTGTTCATGAGGATATTGATAGATGAAAGCCGATAAGACAGTACTCGAAGCAGCTATCTCCTTTAAAACTGTCTGTGTACACGAGGCTCGCCTCAGTGTGCGGCTACTTGAACTAAGAAATTTTGACTCCAACGGATTCATAGCGGTTTTGCAGTTTTATCCAAAAAAATTTACTCCATCGTTATCTATTTATTTGTTTGTTTTTATTCGAGACCCGGTGAATGGATAGTGCTTTTGCCGAAATTCTGGAATGAAAATTTCGCAAGAAAACGTTTTTCTTGCTCTCTTTCTAGCATTGACCAGTGGATCAGAATAGACAGCAACAACCCTTGGGAATTTTTTTTCCGATTGAGTTGTGTTGAGAGTACATGTGATAGTTTATTTCAATTCATCTTTAAGCCACGGACGATTATTGCGTCGCTTGCACACGCCAAAGTTTGCTCCTCTCAGTAACAAGGATGCTTTTGGTTAAAGTTCAAACTACAGACTGCCATATTAACTCGTGTATCACCGGCCACATATAAGACTGCTCATTGTGAATCGCTGTCATGTAGGTGTTTTCCATCTGAATGCAACAGTTATCGTTACCTAAATATTTACATACTAACTGAGTGCTTGCACTTGTGGAAATAGTTTAATTCCACAAATTGTCCTAATGTTCGTCTGACGCTTCCACAGAGTTGGGGTCCCATCGCCTTGCGTACTCGTTTACAGGCAAGTACACGCAACTGGCAGCCGGTGCGATAACACGAATTGCCTTCCTTCTATTGTGGTTTCTCGTTTTCATTGTTGCAATGTTCTTACAAATATCTGACGACTCAGGTGAGCGCACTGCTGGTCGCGGTCTTCTGATGATTTGTCTTCTCTTCTAAATAACCTTTCTCTGCTATTTAAAAATGGCTTTTTTCAGGAATTTTCAGTTAATTTCACTGGCTTTTGAGAAAGAATTCAAAGGCTTTTGAACGGACATATTGGTTTGCTGTTTTTTTTAATTTCTTCAGAAATTAACCGTTTATTTGGAGAAAATCAGTTTAAACTTGGGTCTACAGGCACAGACCAAAATTGGATGTGCGAATATTTGGGCTGACGTCAATCAACCGCAGAGGGATAACCGCGTAAAAATTCGCAAAACTGCCACCGGACAGCTAGTGGTATATACTGGGTTTGCAGGATACCATACTGACAGCATATGTACTAACTAAAAGTCTAGACACGTGTTCTGTCGATATTCTGCCGTTGCGTGGCACAGCTTCGAGGGTTTCAGCTCATCAGTGATACACCGAGTGTTCCCCGTATGCTTTTTGGTAGATTCTCCAGTGTAGAAATCGCTGCTTCTTAATTTTGGTCTGCAGCTAAAGGCCGGAGTTTAAACTGATTTACTCCAAGTTGGCGGTTAATTTCTGAGGAAATCAGAAAAAACAACTTCTAAACTGGAGTATCAGCTAAAAATCCCATAGAGAATTCTGGAGGACCTACTGATGAACCGAACTCCTGTCAGTTGCGCCATGCAGTGGTAGAATATTGCCCAAACTCGTGTTTGGGCTTTTAGGTAGTGTCTGTGTTGCTAGTATGGTATGCTTTAACCGCAGGATTGGGTTGCGCCTCAACCAGTAATCTCGGGGAAGGAGAAACAGTAAAATGCGGAAATGCGTACCCTGTGAACTATCTTCCTGCAAAAGGCTTTTTAATGTATTGAAACAAACTTTTGGCGTAGGTATGACTTTTTTTACTTTTTTAAGGACGCCACACTTCCTATTCCAAAAGACCCCCAATCTGCCATTCTTCTAGTACGGGTGGCCATGTGCCGTAGTTCAGCGAAAGCTATGCATACTCTGTCGGGGAAAAGAAACTCCGAGTTATGTGAAATCTAGCTAGGGCTCCACTGAATTCGTATAAGGAAATATATCGATTCGCGGTTTTTGCTGATACGAGGCAAAGGGCGGTTATCAAATAACTCTAGTCTTAGTGAACTTCGCCATTCGGTTTCTTGCCGACATTTGAGCATAAAACCTTCCATCTTCAGAGCAATATCACGGAATATATATGCCCTGTGCAGCTTAGTTCAACATGGCATGCGAAGAAGCTCAGATGTCCGGCCAATAAATATTCAGCCTCATAAACGTTGTATAAGTGAATTCTCGTTGCGTTCAGCAAATCAAAAACTTCCAACGCCTTCACCACCTTCTAGCCTATTTGCGGGACTGGCTTTAGGGATACAGTGGTCAATAATCTATATATGAGCCCGTTTGTGGTGTTTATTTGTTTGTTGTGAGATGGAAGACGAGAGTATCGTTACCAGCTCGAGGAGCCCTCAACCACTTTAAGTTAGTAAGGGATAAGGATGGAGGGAGGAGGAGGAGAAGGAGGAGGAGGAGGAGGAGGAGGAGGAGGAGGAAGAGGAGGAGGAGAAGGAGGAGATGGAGTAAGAGGAGGAGAGGAAGGGGGAGAAAAACACCCAGATAACACAGACTCCCCAGCTATTGCAGCAACCCTTCTAGTTCAGCAGAGACGAGGTGTATTAGGAGTCCATTTCAAAAATTAAACCTACTGCAGTGTCCAGAAGGGAGCTGAAGACAGGTAAAAGCACTAACGGAAAATAACTACCGAAAAAGGCAAGGGGGCTTGGAAGGGTTATTTGTGGCCTATTAGCCGTCATCAGCCAGTCATATCCAATCCCGCGACCTGTTGGTTAGAAGTCCGACACCTCTAACCATTAAGCCACGGGCTCCTTTTCCTGTCGGTTGTGATCTGAAATATACAATGGTAGAGGGACGCCCACCGATCGTGTTCCGGAAGTCGCTCGTCCTGTTGTGCCGCTATGCGGTTGCCGGTTGTGCTCAAGACAAAGCTCCAAGACACAAGGGGTCGAGTGAGTTGCTTAATACGATCGATGAGCGCCTTTTTAACGTCATTAACGGAAAGTCACACTAGAGAGCGCGTACGCCGGTGTATCCAAACTCCCCTGGTTCCAGATAAGTGTTCTAATCCCAATACTTTCTCTCTATGAGTATTCACAGCACAAAAGGCAGCTGTAGCAAGAAGAAGTTACACGATATCTGTTTATGATCTCCGTGTCGCGGGGCAGAATTTTATGAGGCTGTCTGTTTCCCACAGTTCGCAACCCTTTGCGTCCTGGCAGCACTGTCGCTGCCATTGTGTGAAGTCCTTCTTTTCAGACGAAAGTCTCTTTATTCTGCACTTCACCTTTGCTAAAATCCGTCCCACCATGCGCCACCCGTGGTAGGTCATCGGGCAAATCACATCATCCGGAAGGGACGTCTGCAGCTGGATGACTAATTTAATTGGATACTTTCAAACCAAGCCAAGTATTAGCAGCCATAACTTGGGTGAATGCGCCAATCTACGCAGGAGCAAAAAAGAGAGGTTTTCACCGGCCTGTCCCAACCTACCTCAAATGAGCTCTCGCATCGTGGTTTGGGAGGATTAACTGATGGCGCCTTGCCCCGTGTGGAGGGCAGGTGGCGTCACCAGTGCTCCTTGTTAGGGGGATTACTCCCGGTTTTAGCATCTTCTTTTTTTGTTGCCTACGTCAGCGTTTCACCTGCCCAGTCTGCTGTGGTTTTTCTGGTAGGAACGTCCCCAGGAAGTTAAATGAGTCTGGTGGACGGATGCCAGTAGAATTGTAGGCCTCCCAGTCTCGGCATGCAGCTGTACTGTCAGCTCACGGCCTCGGGGGCACAAATCGATTTTTCGTTAAAAGCGCCGTGTCAACTATTAAAGAGTTTGTGCCTATTTTTCGGTATCTAACATACTTCAGTGTGTACTGCCTGCATCAGATCAGGCAAGCATATGGTACACTTTGTATCCTGACAGAGGCTGCCTTCACCTTATGGGTTCAATTCTGATTTCTGTTTGACGATGTCTTTCCCAGCAGCAGTGCGAGAGCAACGACATTCCACCCCGTAGTACTATATGGTGGTTCTTGCAGGACCCCGGCTACGCCATCCTATGTCCTTCAGAAACTAACGCCAGGTTGACTGGCACCTGCGAACTGCAAATTCGCACTGATTTTATCCCGAGTTAAGCCACGCTGTCATCTGCCAAACTGCAGTTTGGTTCATCCCCTTGTAGAGATTGACAACTCTACCGTCGATATCTACCGCGTGCCCCACAACTGGGTGGATGCATCGACGACGACGACTTCTTTATTGTGATAGTAAACGTGGGCAGCATTTGCCATATTCTCTCTCCTCTTCTCACATCTGGGCTCCGTGTCGTGACGGAATATAGAAAACCGGGTGCGGGAGAGGACGCAGGTGGTTGGCACCGCATGAGTCTGCACCTAAGCGTGCGGTCCCACCCGCACTATGTATGGCATTTGCTATGGGGGCGAATCCCTAGTAATGCTCGCTGTGCCTTGATCTGGTCCGTCCTGTTGGACCAACACGTCAAACAAATGGCACATCGTAGGGTCAAGCGGAATCCTAATCTGTTGTTGAGAGTGCACAACCACAGTGGAAAAATTGTGCCTTTTATATTGATTCTTCGCGTGCTTCAACAAAGGTAATCACTGGTGGACAGCTTATTACTAGTGCTCTCAAGAAGTTCTGGCAAGTGTAATCTGTTTCGGATTTGTTAAGCATCATCAGCTGACACCGGGACAGCTCCAGACTACACGCCCAAATGTCCAGCACTAATCGGATGACCACCGACAACGCCCTTCCTTCTGAACTACGGGTCTTGTTACCTGAGGCGGGGAATATTCAGGCACACAGGGGTGAAGTGCATCGATTTCAGGGCGGAAAAGGACTTTTTTGGTTTAGACTTTGACCTCCGGGTCTGAAGTCCACATTGGAGGTCTAATGACGGTCAGGAATAAGCAATCGAACAGTGCTACCGAGAAAGCCTGGTAAAGCTTGAGAAGCACTGACGGATCAAGGCAACTAAGCTAGAAACGACCATTATATGGCGAAATCGACGGTCGGCTGGAATCTGTGAAATTCTAAGCCACTGGCAACATCATCAAAATATAGAGGCATAAGGTATTCATAATATGAGGCACTAGTTCCGTTGAACCTTCGTCTATCAGTTAGTTCTTTTAATTTCTGGATCTTTCAGGCTTCTATATCTGGATCATAAATGAAAGCAAAAAATTTAATAGCCTACGAGACCTGGAAGGGCATTCAGTTAGGAAACCTACACCTACGTTTGTTGTGCAAAGCATTGTTCAGTTTTCTGTGTTATTACAGATGTGTTTAGGTTTCAGGTCACCTATAAATCCACCTATTGGCATTACAAAAATGTTTTTGATGATGGAAGTCAACGTAAGCCTAGCAACTTTTTGCGTTGGTTTTTAAGAAACTGTCCTGTGTAAACTTTTTATCGTTGTCATGCTCTTTTAAGGCAAAGGTAACAGCATACGGGGAATTTAACGGCGTCATGGGATGCGGTGGCAATACGAGGAAGGAAGCCAGAACTATGTGAACAGTTGGATCTCATGAGTCACTTCGCACTGCCAAGAGTCCATGACGGTAATAACCACATCCCACCTCCCGTCCTCTTATTCAACCCCCCTCCACATTACTGAATGACTAATGTTCCATGCTGTTCAGTCGAAATAACCCTGTAACCCGAATTGGATAATCTACATAATTTCCTTCTGTCTGCACGCCATGTCCATCCTCATGTCAAATTAACATTCCCCGTTATTGCTTATCTATTGCGTTTGATTCCCTTAGCCCGTTTTCTGATTTAACAGTCTGCAGTTGAATGAGAAGTCCCAAGTGTTGTGACATCGTTAAATCCTGCATCTTTTATCATTTTCGCCCTGTCCAAATTTATTCTGGGCAAATAATGTTTCGCAATCATTATGTTTGTGTAAATCAAGCCGTAAATTTTCCCGGTATACTTTGATGTGAGCTAAATCGACATGTCATTTTTGTTTAAATTTATATAACCGAGTCATATTGTTTTGCCAAATTTTTGGCTGTTAAACTCATCTTTATGCTTAACCTACTTCCCCCCCCCCCGCTTCTTGCGAGAAGAAAACTATCCAAAAATTCAAACTAATCCCCTCCCGTGCCTGAAGTTGAGGTTTTTGTTAAGGCAGTCTCTATATACCATTAAAATTGTATAAGATGTGTCATTGCGGTAGGCGCGTTTGCATCGCTACCGATAATGAGGCGCGGAAGTCCGATGACTCGTGTCTTATTCCGCGTCTTCTGTGTACGAAATTCGTCAATTGCCTGTTTCTATGTGTTATGGTGACGCAAAATATGAGAGTTATTAACCGTATGAGAAGTCGTAGGACCAACAATCTTAATAGCCATGATGCTTTTTATCTGACAACAATTGATAGGCATCTTTAGAAGAAAAATGACAAGTGAGATCGAACCCCTGCACTCCAATGGCTAAAACGAGTCCTAACCTGACTTTCATCTGTGTTTATTTTCGTCCTTGCTTTAATTCAACCATTCGCTTTTAAAAACCAGATGTTGCTCTCAACAGGATCCATGATTTGTCAAATATTGATTGCTATATTAAGAGTGTGCTCCACAACATAAGATGTAGGCTAAAATTTACGGCATTTGTGTAAAATAAGTCAAGTGTACGTCAAAGGTTGGTTTTAGACTTGTAGCCTTCCATTATTTTCATAGCAAATCAGTCTTAAGTGCTTTCAAAACATTCACACATTCCGCGTATTTATGTCACAATCTCCGCGCTGTAGATAACTGCAGAGCAAAAGTTGTGGCCCAGTGATTCCCTTTAAATATTAAAAATTGATGCATTTTTAAAGAACGATGACCGGATTGGGGGGAAGCAGATGCCAGCTCCTAGAACGACGATATACCGGGACATGGTAAAATAATGGAGAAGGAAGTCTTGTGCTAATGAAGACCATTTCACGAATCTCTGGTTTGGTTTCTGCATTCGTCTGTGTCATGGGGTAAAAAATGTATAGTACCGTTTGCGGGGATCGTTTCGGATATCCAGGCATCCAATGGCTTTTGCCCCAGTCTCTTAGCAACTCGCACTTTCAACCATCTTTCTTTGTAAAGTCAAGTTGGCAAACAAGTGCTTTCAGTAATTCTTCGTCAGGCCAATATGGTTACATGATGGAATGGAAATATACAAAATTAGAGGTTCTTATAGGTGTCTCAAGGGGTATTAAGTCATTAAAACTCGTCTTCTCCAAGCCGCCCGCATGACGAGGTCGGCGAGTTTTGGTCCTAAGGGCTAGGGGAAGGGTGAGAGGGACTTTGAGTGATGTTCTCGGATTGAGTACACGGAGTACCCATTACTGTAATTAGGGATTTGAGACGGCATGTTGTCATCACTTGGGGTTGGCGCTGGCCACGGAACAGGGAGCGCCTGTGTCAGAGTTTTCTGTTTTTCGTGGTCTTCCTGTGCGTTGCGATCGTTGGCCTGGGATAGCAGACCGCCCCTTCAAACTATCCATGTGCGTCCATGTGTTAACTGGCTCAGTGGCTACGCAATATGGCTATGGGGTATGGTAGCCCGAACCACATTGTCCACCTGAGCCGGTTTGTTTCTTAATCCGCACGTCTATTTTAAGTACAGTGACTGCCAAACACGAACAATATCCTCGCCAGCCTCCGTGGTAATGCGTCGTGTCTTTAAGAAGGAGACACGATCGCTGGGACAAGAGTTTTACTTGCCTGGCGTTTCGGATTCCTACTCGAACCCATCATCAGAGACAAAAACAGATACGGGTTGTTCATGCATAATGGCCTGCAGTAGCCATCCTACCGCATACCTATGAATATTCACGGCTCCTCTCCCCTTCATCAGGGATCGTTGCACTTGGTGTGCTGACTGTTCAAAGACCGACATTCGCGTCGTTAATTGCTGCAATTTCACTACGTGCGTTGGATGTTGGTGTGATGATTGATCGACCATCTGTCCACCGACCCTGACGTTGGGAAAAGTGTTCAACTGTGCGCTTCCAGTGTGGCTTATTATTCCACCTAGGCGAGGTCTCAGCACTGATTATGGAAGGGGAAGGTCATTGCACTTGTTATTGGACTGGGGGCTAGAACCAGTACTTAAGCAGCTCCCGGCTCACACGATTGTCACCTCTTGCGAGAATTTAGGCCTCGTCGAATTTGAATGTGGGGCCAGATCTCGTCGAATGAGCCGCACCTTGACAGCTGGTTTCATTTCTCCACACCGCTGCAGCGTGTTCGACCATTCGCGTTCGGAGCTGTCTTCCGGTTTCTCCGACGTAGTTGCGTTGTCCGCCACTGCACCAGATTCAATAAACGACTTCCGACGTTTCTTGCCGTGGCAGCGGTCTTTCAGTTTCATTACCTGACGCCTGATGGTTGCCTCCAGTCTCAGTGCAACTCCAATCCCAGGTGGTGCGAGAAGACGGCCGACAGATCCCAAACGTTCTTGACATACGGAAGCGCTCGCCAAAATTTGGTGTAAGTGCGGTTAGGCCTTTCGTCCCTTTTGCGTATTTACCGATTGACAAAGTTTCGCGGGTAGCCATTGGCTTTGAAGACCCGTCGGAGGTATTGTAGTTCAGCAATTTTGTCTTCCGGCTCACTGCAGTGCGTTTCGACACGCCGATAGAGCGTCCTTACACAACTGCGTTTGTGACTGCTTGGCTGGTTTCTATTGAAGTCCAGTACTTGCTTCGCATTTGTCGCTTTCCTGTACAGTTTGGTCACTTCTATTGGCAATGCGTCCTGTCGCCTACACTACCAAGGTAACAACCGCTGGATGTTTGCTGGCAACCGTTTCTTGTGGGCTTTCTGGTACTCGTTTGCCCGAGTCGCTACAGTACTTTTTTACTCTCTGGAAGGTAGCTCTTATGCAGTTTGGTTTGTGTGTCGCTGTGTGATTGTCGTGCCCTTACAACGGACCACGCGGTAGAGGCGCTGGACCAACACGGAGACCAGATCATGGCACGGCGGGCTTTATTGAGGCAGATGCCACATATGGCGGGGGTGTGGTGGTACACCTAGTTGCACCCTCACGCGGCGTCAAGTACCTGCACTTTTCCTCGCCCCTGGTCTTCTTGATTTAGTCATAGGCTGAGCTGAGGTGGGAGAGGAGTAGGAGAGAGTACGGCAAGTGCTGCTTACGTCTTCTATCAATATGAATTAACTCATGCCCAAGTCGCCGTCAATACACCCACCCAGTTGGTAAGGCAGACGATGGGCGTCGTCGGAATCGACGGCCAAACTTTCGGTTGTCGGGCCTCCTGAAGATTCGTGTGCTCCACCTTCTTGCGGCCCACTGCGATGCGCCACTCGCAACTGAGACTGTGCATGACGGAGACGTTAGGGAAAAGCAGGTGCTCTATTGTCTCGTCCTCTCCTGTGAACCAAAGGTCAGGGAGGACGTAATAAAGCCGTTTAATATGACTTTATGGCCTGTCTGCCTCTGTTATAACGAACATGCCGTCCAGGGGATCTGTACCAACAGGTCAGACTCATAATTGCCAAAGGCGACCTTTTTTAACTAGTGTAGAACCAATTCGGGGTTGGATACAGCTGCGTCTATCCCTCTCTTCCACCTGATTCTAATGTGGGGACACCTGTAATACGCGAATGGTAGTTTTTACGTGTGGGGTCTTTCAGGACAGGAAAAGTAGATTTAGAAACATGTAAAAGGGAAATCGTATTCACGCCTCATGTTTGTTGTAACGGTTAGCCAACCTTTTAATCCCTGTAATGTAATAAGGAGGTGCCAAGCGAAGCCTTTGCGAATTAAGTGTTGCAAAGGAGACGCGCGCGACTTCACAGGAAGAATACGCACCGCCCGCTAATAAAAACGTAAAATGAGCAGGCCTCCTGTAGGACTATATTTCAGTGGGAGTTTGCTCAACTGGCCCCTACCAGCTAAACTGGAGAATGGAGGACCCAGTGGTGTTCCCCTGATCTGCTACTATACCCTGACCTCAGAATCAGAACATTCGCTGGCATAATTCAGAAGTGACTTCGGTTAGGTATTATGTACTACTGATGATTCTAAAATTTCATATAGTGTTAAATAATTTTCGCTACTGCACAAGACATAAAAGATCCCTGAATATGTGAATGCTATAAGGAGGAAACAGTGTTTGTCCATAACCTAAAATGGCTTTCAGTTCTGCCGAATTTTTCCTATAAAACAAGATCTGTTTGCCTTTGCTCATTAGTTGCTTTCCACCCCTCACCCGCGACCAGCCTTCAGTAGACGGCAGGGGGAAGCATGAAAGTGATGCAGGCTAACTGCAAGCAAAAATGACAGTATTCGCTGTGTCCAGTCATTCATTGCTGTGCCTTATCAGATGGTCTCGGATACCGTCCATTCTGTGTTTACTGTGCAAATAGCGCCGTCTTTTGTGTTGCATAAGCCTTGAGAATGGGTCTGATGAAAGCGTTATTAGCCAACACACACGCACGCACCCACGCACAGGTGCTGTTGTTTGAGCATTTTCCTGTCGCGTCCTTTCCGCCCGTGAAGCGCTACTGAGGGAGCCCAAAAAGTAGGCCGTCTGAAGTGCCTGAACACCGGTCCGCGCTGGCAGTGTGCACTACCCTGCCGAAATCCGTTCTGTGCGTTATAGACGACGCCAAATGTGTATGGAAACTGTGGGAAAAAAAGGCGGAGGTCGCGCAGTCTGCTTCTGCCACGGACAAGGTGAGCTTTGCAGGACAGTTCAGAGGAAGGAAACCATTATTTTGCCTGCAAGCAGTCGCGCACACGCCTAGATGGCTCCCTCCAATGTCACGTCAGGCAGCAGAAGGCAGTTCTATTGCCTGCTGCTGCTGCTGCTGCTGCTGCTACTGCTGCTGCTGCTGCTGCTGCTGCTGCTGCTGCTGCTGCTGCTGCTGCTGCTGCTGCTGCTGCTGCTGCTGCTGCTGCTGCTGCTGCTGCTGCTGCTGCTGCTGCTGCTGCTGCTGCTGCTGCTGCTGCTGCTGCCGTTCAGACGGATGATACCAGCCCCGGAACTTCACTTAATTAACCCCTCACTACAGTAATAAAGGATGCACTTTGAGGGATTCGCTTTTACCTTGGAGAGCTCACGCGTATCAAGTCAGGCGCTAATAATCCGCCTCCATACGCGAGCACAAGTTGTTGTACAAATTGTTTTGAGGAGCCCGCTGGCTGTCACGTTTAGAGCTAGCTAGCTAGTTAGATGACTTTCATTGTGCTCTTTAATTTTTAAATACCCGTGCGTCTGCCTCACGGGATGAGACTTGCGTGGCCTTGTGACTGAGGCTCTCATCCGCCTGAGCTGCTGCCCAGTCACCATGTGAAGACAGAAGGGACTGTTAACTTCCTGCTCTGCTGTCGTAGGTCTGGGCCAAAGGCAGGGATAAATTAGGTGCAGTAAAAACAAGCGTTGTAGCTACATGTTGATATTTTTAAATCCTACAAAGGCACAAACTGGTGGAAGGCAGTCACTGCAAAATCTTTTAAAAAGCTTCTGTCAACATCTCCTTATGGGCTCGTCGGCAGTAGCACACAGTTATAAAAAAGCCCAGGTCCGCATTAAAACAAAAAGCAGGTCGGTCGTGTTAGTGCTTACCTACCATACGTTTTAAATTGTCCCTATATTGACCATTAGCGCAAACAATAGCCGGACCTAAGGCATCAGCAAATACGATGCACTCAGCATTAATTCAAGTTGCCTGAGTTTCCTTCTGGTCCCCAGTGAGTTACCTCCTTCCATAGTACCTAGTAATAAGCTCCCATCGGGCAATCAGCAATGGTGGCGTGAAACCCTCTCACCTCTAAAGACAAAAGAGTACTGTGGCGACGTTACTTAAGGTGGCATTAACTATACAAAAATGTTTCAAACTGGGAACACCGAGCGTTTTAGTTCGAGTTGCATCCATTTTCATGGGGTCGAAATACAGTACACCGGTGCTGCTTATGATGGAGTTTCCGCGACGTACGCTATCAACTTTAGGATTCCTGACTTCTCGACTTTTGGGGGATAAATATTAAAAAAAATTCGCAGGGAAACGTTTAAAAAGACAGAATTTGGAAGGCGCTTGGTGCTTCCATCGTGATAAGGATATAGAAAGCTATGCTGTAGAGGCTGAGGGTAGCGCGTAATGATAGACAAGCAGATTTAATCAGTCCGCTCGCTTGAACGCGCATGAACCGGTGTTCCAAACTGATCAGTAGGAATGAGCACTCACCTTTGACTCTGAATGAGCTGAAACTTCGTAAAAACTAAGACGGAACAGTTGGTTGATTCCGACTTCCATTCACTTCTGTGAATGCTTAACTGACAGTAGATGTTCGAGATGATGGTTCGCATGTGATTAAACAGTTGTAAATTGTTGAACATTAATTAAATGCCTTCACCTTCAAAAGATTACGGCATAGTAGTTCTGTTTGAAAGTGACATTTTACCAAGTTTTCACAGACTTGAAGATAAAACAAGCAAGATTTCTAGACAAAAGGTCGAAATACTGCCTAGTCACAAAGGCCAGGATATAATGAGACACGTTCGATCCACTTCAATTTCCACTACGTTGCGGTTTTTTGTGTTTGGATAAGCCTCTATTATTAAATACTCTTTTCTTTTTATCTACATGGCGGGCGTAGGTTGAGCAACTTAGCAGGGACTTTCTCTGAATGCCACTCCCAGTTCTCGAATAAAGGTAACTGTACAAATGTTAATTCATTTTCTAAACTCGACATCAGTCTAAAGTATATTCAGTAGAATTAATTTGGAAAACCGCTTGTTTAGTTTTTAAGGTTACTTAAAGTCAAACGAACCGTTATAGTACCGTATTTTCGTCGTCGCCATCGTCTCTCCCTCGCCCCACACCCAGCTAACCACACCCCACAAACTCTGAAGGAGGCCTCTTGCGTCCGGGGAGACTCACTAATAATCAAGCTCATAGACACATTTGCTAACGCCGATCTTGTCATCGACCCTACCATCCTCGTCCAGTGTGCGAGCCCACTACTTACGAGCGGTTCTGTCTGAAGCCGTACTGTAGCGTTCAGAGTGAATGGTTATGCTCCAAATCTTTATTTTTTCGTTTTTGAGTATGGCTTCCATTATCTTGCAGTAGATGCACGTGGGACTAACAGGCCGGTAATTTTTAGCATTAGTGCGGACCCCACTCTTATAAATCAGAAAGATATTTGCTGTCTTCCATTCGGATGGCAGCTTCCCTAATTCGAATGACGAACGAAGATGTGTGCTAGTGGTTTGGAGAGTTCGTCCGCCAATTCCTTCAAGGATTTGGCTGGTATATTGTCAGGAACCGACGACTTTGCTTATTTGAGATTTTGTAGCTCCCTTTCCAAGACAGATGTCGCGACGAGTATGGAGTCAAGCACGGGACAATCAATCTCAACAGCACTGTTGGCACTGCGACTAAGAAACTCTGTCTTCCTAGTAAAAAAAACGAGGCAAAGTATTGTCCTCAGTGTTTTCAAGGATTTCTGCACTATTGTTATTCTCTAGTACTGCGACCGGGTCCTTGTTTTTCAATCTGTTGTTAATGTAGTGGAATGAAATCTTGGCCTTCTGTTCAGCCTGTCGGATAAGTCCGGATTCATACTCCTTCCGTGCCTGACAGATGGATTTTTGACTGCATTTCGCTGACGCCGAAACCCCTCGAGGTGCATTGGTGACCCGGTTACCCTGAATATCTTTTATCTTTTACTTTTCTTCCCTAACTGTTTATTCAGGTCCCTAGTTTACCAGGCAGACCAACTAGTCGTTTTTTGTGGTTTCATTCGACTACAGCGTCAAACTAGATCGAGTAAAATAGTTTTGAACGATCTCCAGTCGACCTCCGGATCCCCCTTGAGCAAACGGTCCCAATTCATGGACATCAATTCGTTCTTCCTCGTGTTAAAATCCGCTTTTCATATATTCCGTTGGCCTTCCGTTCTCTTCTGGCGTTGAGAGAAGAGCGAGTAATCGCATAGTAGCGTAGTATGGTCACTCTTTCCGGGAGATGCATTTGAATACACTTCATAGATAGTAGAGAAGACTTTAGTGAGAAGTAGATCCAGGAATTCGCTCTCTGGTTCTCTCTAAATCTTGTTGGTACCTTCACATTTTGCGCCAGTGGAAGTTCGGGTGTGAGATCAATCAGTTAATGGCTGAAAGGAGTTGGTCTACCGTTAACTACCATAGTTTCACACTCTATTGTAAGTGCTTTTAAATTTCCAACAATAAGAACCTCTTGGTGGCTAGCTACTTCCTTGACTAAATGAAGGAGCGACTCATCAGCTGCATTTGGGATGTTTGATGGTCTGTAAACCGTCAGGAATTCTGAGTTTTGTGCGTTACTCTTCTTTTTCTTCATCCAGGCCGATTCATATTTCAGGGAGAGGCTGTGGGCTCGTTCAACTACCGAAATTCTTGTCTTTACATATACGACTACCCCAGCGCCCTGTCCACTTTGACGGTCTCTGCGAAAGCGCTGGTGACCTCGTATCGAAAGCTCGGCATCTACGCTTTCGGCTCTAAGCCATGTTTCCGTTATGGCAATGACGTCGGGGTTTCGTCCCAAAACTAGCGCTTTGAATTCGACGATCTTCGAAACGAGACTTTGGTCTGAGTAACTCCGGCATACAGGCGTCTGTCCATTTCATGGGCTTGAATGCAAAGGCCGGCCGGATCTGATCGAGATGGACTGCATACCATTTCTCCCAAGTTTTTTCGAAACTGATTTTATGCAAACAGGAAAACGTAATATTTTATGCGAAAGATCTAGCCCACATCCAATATTCACTGTACCTTAGTTTGCCTGATAAACTGTGCGTTGCCCAACCATTAATGCAGGTTGCTGGCGGTCCGTTAAATCAAGTTAATTAACCGAATTCGGTTACTCGTGTTTCGGCGCAAAACCATGAGAGCTTACTACCTTCCAAAGTTTTCAAATTTAAATCGCCCGCAACAGCCCTGTCACATGAAATGCCTTTGTTAATCAGGCAAGATGTTCATAGCCCTTAGATCATATTTTCTTTTACTCACGAAACCAACGCGTACAATCAGTTCTACTTTTGTTACCATATATTTGACTGGTGAATTGGATCAATGTTTAACGAATTTTGCTTTTATATCCAGTTTTCTGTTGCAAAAAGGCTTCGGGCATTGTACGGTGTGGGCCGGCTGGTAATGGCAGTTGATATGTCTACTGAGCAGTAGAGGCAGTTCGATTTTTTTTAGTTTTCCCGTAAATTTCCGCCAACCACTATGATTACTACCTTCTTGAGGATTCGGGTCTTCAAAACATTTGCTGGTTTATCGCTTCACTTTGAGTGGTTATGACCGTGCTCCGTAGTTAAAAGTCGAAAGCGACTTGAATAAATAGACACTTTTGGGTTTCCTGCTCACGCGTGAAAGTATGCTTGGTTAAGCAGTATTCCCGTACGGCTGCCTCCAGACTGCAAAAGTCGGCAGTAGTTCATAAAACGGAGATGCACTATCCGCGATGAGGTTAAAGTTTTGCCTTCTTCGCAGTTCCGTCGGCACTTATTGTGCATGTGGTCAAACAGTTTGGCACTTATCGTCAGTGGTGCGAATGGGTTTAACAAACGCATTGAAAAGTGCAATTCCGCTTGACAAGAATAAAACAGTTTTGATGAATCCGAGCATTATGTTAATTCACTGAATGACATTCATTTGATTCTACTTTTAAACTATCATTTTAAGACGAATAGGTGTCAGGTAATCACAAAAAATCCCCTCATCAAGCAGAGTAGGCTTGAGTAGTAAGACGACGTTGAAAAACAAAGTTTTGGAGGGAAAGTCTAACAGTAGCACAACCAACGTTGGTTTTCGTACTGGAGTAGTCTGAAGGATACACACGTTACGGTTCATGATTAACGACAGTTTTTGGCAACCAACTTATTCCGCCTCAAAGTAGCCTATTTTTGTTTTGCGGTCGTAAATCTGGGACCACTGAACCTTTTACTGCTTGCAACAAAAATAACATCCTCATTAAACCATGACCCAATAAAAGACAGGAAGTAATT